AAGTCACATCTTCATGATCAGTATACTCCATTCAACTGGACTGCCACCTGCTATTTTTGTCATCTCTCAATAATAATGCCATCAAAATGATCTTAAATGAAATTAAATGAAATTAAATTAAAGCCCTTATGATTCAGTCATCCCTTTAGGGCACACTTCTGAACATTGTTGCATTGGGGATCAAGTCCTTGTACCTGAGTCTTTGAAAGACATTTTATATTTAAATCATAATGCTGTATAAAAATTAAACACACACACACACACACACACACACACACACACACACAAATGTTTAGAAGTAGCTAAGTGCTGCAGCATTTGCTTAACATGTTTCAGGTCTTGGATTCAATCCCTGATAATTGGAAAGAAAAAAAAATGACTTGAGTGGAATTTCTTGAAATAAAAAAATAAAGTACTTGAAATGAAAAGTACAGTGCCTAAAATAAATAATTGCTTAGAAATCATAGAAAAAAGGATGAATGAAAAACAGTGGAAAGAATCCAAAATGAAACCCAAATGAAAAAGACTGGAACAAAAAAAGAACAAATTGTTGGTGAAGTGCAGGGAAATTTTATATATATATGATTTGATATTTATTTATTTATTTGTTTGTTTATTTATTTGTTTGTTTATTTATTTATTTATTTATGATTTGACCCCTAAAGAGGATGAGGTGCAGAGAAAAATATCTGAAGAAATAATGAGCAAAAACTATTGAGGTTGATGAAAACTATAAACCCATAGATCCAAAAAGTCCACCAAACCACAGACAAAATAAACATCACAGAAGAACACACCAAGATACATTATACTCAAATTGCTGAAAGTTAGTAATGAAGAAAAATCTTAAAAATATCTGGAGGAGGGCCAGGGATTTAGCTAAGTGGTTCCGCCACCTGCTTCTCAAGCCCAAGGACCAGGGTTTGATCCCTGGTACTGAAAAAAAGAAAAAAAATACCTGGAGGAGAACCCATGCCTGTAATCCCAGCACTTGGGAGGCTGCAAGTTCAAGACCAGCCTGAGCAACATAGTGAGACCCTGTCTCGACAGTCCCTCCCCCATGTAGTTATGCATGTATGTACATGTATATGTGTGTATATATTTCTATATATGGAGGAGATTTTTTTAATATACAAAATAAGAACAGTAGTCTTTTTGTCAGAATCTAAGTGGCTTGTTGACTTGGAAGACAGATGAGCCAACACCTTTAAAATACTCCAAAAAAAAAAAAGAAAAACAGACCTAAACAGTGAAGATATTTTTTTGCAGTACTGGGGATTGAACCCAGGGGCTGGCACATGGCAAGGCAAGTACTTAACACTGAGCTATATCCTGAGCCCTTTGTTTGTTTGTTTGTTTTCCTGTACCAAGGATCAAACTCGGGACCTTGCATGTGTAAGGCAAGGTGCAGTGCTACTGAGGTAACTTCCCGCCCCTTTTTATTTATTGTTTGTTTGTTTTTGTTTTTTTTGGTAATGACAATGTATTTTGGGGTCTACAACATACATAGTAAAATATATGATGGTAGTGCAAAGAACAGGAAAGGAGAAATGGAAAAAATTAAGTTTCTTAAACTTATAATGTTATTTTTGATGGCATAGTGTTAGACTTTAAAGATGTACACTGTAAATGGTAAAAGCAAACACTAAAAAATGAGAAGTATAGCTAATAAGCCAAGAGTGAGAGATAAAATACAACCCTCAAAACTACTGAATTTAAAATATTTAGGAAGAGAAGAAAAAAAAGGAACAGTGGGACAAATAGATCATAGATTGAAACCAAACCAAATCATGTTAATAATTACATTAAATGTAAATGATCTAGTTAAAACAGACTGTCGGATTGGATAATAAAGCACAGTAGGTTAAATGTAAAAGAAGGAAAGCAAAATACCATACAGACACTGTCAAAAGAAAGCTGGAATGGCTATATGGATACAAATCAGAGTGATTTTCAAAATAAGTAGTAGTATCAGGCACAGGCATCCAGAAAATATATACATCTAATAACAGTTTTAAAAAGCATTAATCAGAAAGGATAGAACTATACAGAGTAGCATACAAATACATAATAACTATTGGAGTTTTCAACAATCTTCTTTCATTAATAGAGCAATGATATAAAAGATTTAACACTATGGAGCATTTTAACCTAAATGACATTTATTTGTTTGTTTGTTTGTTTATTTATTTATTACTGGGCATCAAACTCAGGATCTTGAACTTGCAAGGCAGGCACAATACCAAATGACATCTGTAAAGCAGTACACCCGGCAACAACAGAATATACTTTTTTGTTTTTGGGGATATGCACATGGAATATTCACCAAGATTTTCCATATTCTGAGCTGTGAAAAAAATTGCAATAAACTTTAAAGGATTGCAATCACAGCCTGTTTCTAACCATAAAGGAATTAAACTAGAGACCAGAACGAAGATATCTGGCAAATTCCTCAAATATTTGGAAACTATATTACCCTTCTTAGTAACCCATAAGTGAAAAAAAAAATGAAAGGGAAAGCTAGTTTAAAGTATTTTGGATTGACTTAAAATGAAAACACCTCAAAATATTTGTGGAATGTTACTAAGAGTATCTTAGAGGGATACCGATAGCATTTAATGTTTATATTAGAAGAAATAAAAGTGTTTTCTGTCTTACTAGAAAAAGAATAAATTAAGCCCAAAGAAAGCAGAAACTAGGAAATAACAAAAATAACTGAGGATCAGTTATATAGAAAATAGGCAAATAATAGAGAAAAACCAAATGCTAGGTCTTTGAAATACCAATTAAATTGAAAAATCTCTAGCCTGGGGTGAAACTATGAGATTAGGCATGAATTACCAAGACCTGGATTGAAATAAAGGATTATTAGCACAGATTCTACAGTTATTAAATTGACAGTAGGGGAATAATATGAACAACTTCCTACTAATAAGTTTAACAACTTTGGTGAAATGGAGGAATTCTTGAGAGACACAGAGAAAGAAAAGAAATGGAAAACCTGAGTAAATCTGTATCTTTTAAAGACATTGAATTTGCAGTTAACCTTTCCACAAAGAAAGCTTCAGTCTCAAATATAATTTAAAGAAAATAATACCGTAGAGAGTGTTCTAGGAAGATGAGAAGGTAATATTTTGCAACTGGTTCTATAAGGGCAACATTACCTTGACACAAATATCAGACAAAGCCCTTTTAAACAAAAGACTGCAGAATAGTTTCCTTCACAAACATGCATGAAGTTTTTTTTTAGCACAATACAAGGGAACTGATCTAACAGTACATAGAAAGGATACTAAGATACTACATCATTATTCCAAAAATGCAAGGTGATTTTAATATTTGAAAATTAATTATTATAATTTACCATATTAACATACTGAAAAAGAAAATATGATTATAGATGTCATCTGTAGATGAAGAAAAATAATAAAATTAGAACTTCTTGTAAAAATCTAATAGTATAGTGGGGGCAGGAAGCTGCATGATCAAGGCAGTATGGTATTAGCTTAAGTGTGGACATATAGATTGTTGGGGGAAAAAATAGTGTTGGACTGGGAATTTAGCTCAGTGGTTCCTCTGACTACCTCTCCAGCTCAAGATTCCGAGTTTGATCCCCAGTACCAAAAAAAAAAAAACCCCAAAAAAAAACAATGTCAAAGTAGACTCAAAAATATAGTAAACTAATTATTTTAAAATACCTGCCAAGATAATTCAATGAAGGGCTGGGGATTTAGCTTAGTGGTTCCACTGCCTGGCTAGCAAGCATAAGGACCCAAATTCTATCCCCGGTACAAAAAAAAAGAATTCAGTGAAGGAAAGACCCACCTTTTTCCAAAAATGGTGCTGGAACAACTGATGATATCTTTATAGATAAGAAGTGAACTTTGGTGCTTACAGCGTATACAAAATGAACTTGAAATTGCTCATAGACTTGATTATAAATGCTTAGGTTATAATACTTACAATAGAAAATATTTATGGTTTTAGCTTAGCAAAGATTTCTTCAATCACACCCAGCATGAGCCAGCTATAAAATAGAAAAAAAAAAAAAAAAAAAAGGCCGGGGCATGGGGGGGCATGCCTGTAATCCCAGCACTCGGGAGGCTGAGGCAGGAGGATCGCTGTGAGTTCGAGACCAGCCTGAGCTACATAGTGAGTTCCAGGTCAGTCTCACTATATAGTGAGACCCTGTCTCAAAAAAAAAAAAAGATAAATTGAACTTAATCAAAGCTAAAAACTTCTGCTCTTCAAAAGATTCTGTTATGAAAATGAAAATGCATATCACAGAGGGGAGAAGATATATGCAAAATTTTTTCTGATAAAAGAGTTGTGTCTGGAATACTTTTGAGTCCATGGACTCCCAAGGAGTGACAGTTTGATTTTATTGTAGTGACCAAAAGGTATGAGCAAATACTACACAGAAGATATAGGGATGGCAGATATTCACGTGCAGACATGCTCAATTACTCTTTGGGGAAATGCAAGTTACAGTGATATTCTACAACATACCCCAAAGAATGAGTAAAATTTAAAAGACTCAGGGTCAATCTGTTGGCTAAGATGTGGAGCAGTTTGATTACTGGTGGAAATGAAAAATGGCCACTTTGAAAAACAGTTTGGCAGTTTGGTACATAGTTAGACATAAACTGGCCAGGTACTTCTTTGGAGAATCTGGTGTCTGAATTTTTTTTTTCCCCTTTCAGTTCTTAGACTGAGCACATTCCCCAGAGAAAACTACCGATCTGCCTACAATATAAGATAAATGCCAGATTGCCGGTTTTCTAGGCACCAAGTAGGACAAAGCTAGAGGAGGCTCTGTATTGGTTACATTTGACCCCTCCCTGAGCCCCCTGTTTTCAGTATGACATCCTTAGCTGAGTGTGGTGGTGCACACCTGTAATCCCAGCACTCGGGAGGCTGAGGCAGGAGGATTGCTGTGATTTCGAGACCAGCCTGGGCTACATAGTGAGTTCCAGGTCAGTCTCAACTACATAGTGAGACCCTGTCTCAAAAAAACCAAACAAAAAGATACAGTATGACATCCTTGCTCTCAGGTATACCTCGTGTACCTTAACCAGAGACACTGTTTTATTTTACCCAGAGATCTCTGACTTCTCCACTGGTTTTGGGTTTTAGACAGAGCCAGTCACCTTAGTTGTAAAATAATCACTATAGATTTAACTGCTTCTAAACATGGCTTCTCACAAATCCTCATGTTTGTACCCACCCATAGATCTGTTTACTAGGGGTCCTGGTACCATTAATTCCTTGGGCTTTGAGGGGTTTTGTATTACAAGCCAGGTTCTCATGTGTCTCCAGTTTTAGGATTGAGATTTTTAAGTCTATTAAATTATTTACCATTCATACATTTGTTTCTAGCTTCTAAAATTTTGTTGTTGCCACTTCTGTCTTTCCCACTCATGTGAATTTCTTTAAAAAAAAGAAAAAAAGTGCTGATTTAAGGAGTGGATTGAATAAGTATACAATCAATCCACCATCTTTTCCTGGAAGTCAGATGGCTATTGTTTGAAATTCTGACTTCCTGAAAGCTAATATTCTCTTTTCCTATAGCTTTACCAACTGGCTCTAGGCTAGCCCATGACAGCCACACAAAGCATTGATTTAAAATGTTGAACACAGCGGGGGGGATTTAGCTCAGTGGTTCCACCTCCTACTTTGCAAGTGCAAGGACTGGAGTTCTATCTCCAGTACCAAAAAAAAAAAAATGTTGAACAGTCTTAGTTGCACCCCACCAGTCTTTTCTTCAAGCCAAATATTTCCCCCTGCAAGTTTTACTTCTTCCAATTTGATTCATGAAGATTTAATATGATAGAATTTCTGCTCATCTTCTTTGTTAAGGCATTAAACTACTCGTTTATATTAAGTAAAAATTAGGAGTTAGGCCGGGGATTTAGTTCAGCAGTTCGGTGGCCTGCCTTGCAAGCGCAAGGACCCAAGTTCAATCCCCGGCACCCCCCCCAAATAAATAAATAAATAAAATTTAAAAATTAGGACTGAGAGAAAAATAAATAAGAGTTTTTAAACTTTTTTCTTTCTTTCTTTGTGTGTGTGTGTGATGCTGGGGAGTCAAGCCCAGTCTTGAGCATTCTACAGTGAACTTCACCTCCCAGCCCGAAGAAAAACATGTTCTGTTATGCCCATATAACCTGCAGTAGTATGGAGAGCTTGAATCTGATCTAAGTTTAGCATTACCCTTTTCCTGCCAACTGTCTAGCCAATGTTTTTTCTCTGAGAACTGTCATTACCAGAGCGTGGTTTAATTGTGAACTTTTCACTGAGCTGATTTATACTAAACTCCTATTCATTTTTGCAGACTCTTTATCTTCTTTTTTCTGTCTATATTTATCTTCTGTCTCCATCAAACCTAAAATAGTAAAGAGCAAGCTAAAGGTGTGTAAAGAATTGCAAGGTAGTTATTTTTAATGATTATTATCATGTTGATACTCAACTGTTTGACAATAAGAAAATGTTCTTTAGAAATCATTTTGAACCCAGGCGTGGTGGCACATGCCTGTAATCCCAGCACTCAGGAGGCTGAGGCAGGAGGATCGCTGTGAGTTCGAGACCAGCCTGGGCTACATAGTGAGTTCCAGGTCAGTCTCAACTACATAGTGAGACCCTGTCTCAAAAAAACCAAAGGAAAAAAAAAAAAGAAATCATTTTGAAAAGCAGATGTTTAAAATTCAAACTTTTCATTTGAGTTGTATGTTCAGGTTTTATTACTATGTGCTTTCATTTTTAGGATATACTGCTATATTATATTTTGATTTTTAAGCATGATAGGCTTTGTCTTTGTCTTGTTAGGGCATATATATTGTCTGTCTCTCAAGGATCAGTGGTATATTGGTACTGAAAAATACTAGTAGAAGTATCTGAGTCTTTTATTTTTTAATTTATCTTACAGTACTAGGGATTGAACCAGGGCCTTTTCAGTGGTAGGTAAGTGCTTTGCCACTGAGCTATACCCCTCAGCCCTTGTGTCCATTTTTAAGATAATATCTGTGTGACCTTTTTTTTTGTTTGTTTGCTTTGATTTTTGAGACAGGGTCTCACTATGCAGTTGAGACTGACCTTTAATTTACTGTGTAGCCTGGGCTGGTCTCACAATCTTCCTGCCTCAGCCTCCTGAGTGCTGGGATTACAGGTGTGCACCACCACGCCCGGCTCTGTGTGACCTTTTGCAAGTGACTTACTTTCTTAATCCCTTGTCTGTCTGTCTGTCTCTCTCTCTCTCTCTCTCTCTGTCTGCCTGCCTTCCTTCCTTCCTTTGATGTTGTTAAGACAGGGTCTCACTATGTAGTTCATGCTGGCCTTGAAACCTTGAACTAATGGCCATCCTCTTGCCTCAGCTTCCCAAGTGCTGGGATTACAGGTGTGCACCACCATGACTGGCTAGATCCCTAATTTCCTCAACAGTAGGTCAGAGAAATTGGATGAAGAAACCTGCAGTGATCCTCCTTCAAATTTTTATTCCATGACTTTATAAATGAGCAGTAATAGGCCATGCAGGATCAGTTGGTCTGTTTAGCCCATGTTGATACTTCTCTGCTTTAAGTCTTCAATCATACTTGCCCATAGAATGTACTTAGATATTCAGTGTAAACTAGCTTGTATCCTTACTGACTTGTGTCACGAACATGTCCCAGCTCACTAATAGTAGAGACTGTCTTCTGTGGTGTTTATTTTCTCTCCAGTTGGAGTAAAGGACACTCAGCCTCATGAACTTGGTCTAAGGAGTCTAATTGATTCAAGTTCTTTTTTCCTTTGTAAAGACTGTGGAGTATCCCATACTTTGGTTTTATAGTTATTTAATCCCTATGAATGATCATTTAGGATGTTTGAGTTTTTTCCCTGTTACAAGCAATGTTTTTATGAATGTTTGTGTGTCTTTATCCTCTCATGAATGTGCCATAGGTTTGGTTAATTTCTAGAAGTAGAATTACTCTGTCAAAAAGTGGGGGGGAAAGGTGGAATATTTTTCATTCTAATATATAAAATAAAGATAAAAAGCAAGTACTTAACATCTTGAGCTTCTGTTCACTCATGTATAAATGAGGATAATTATAATATTTTACCCCACAAGATTGTAGTCAGTTTCTGGCTGTCAAAAGCTCTGGCATATAGTAAGCATTGAGTAAGTGTCAATTGCCTTTCTCTTATTTTTTATTTTTTTATCGCTTCTCAGCCTTTTGGCTAAGATCAAGTGTATTTTTTATTTATTTTCAGTACCATGTTTCAAACTCAGTTCCTTGCACTTGTGAGGCAGGCGGCAGCACAACTGAGCTAAATCTCTGGCCCTCAATTGCCTTTCTTAATCTGTAATGATAATATGTCACTTGTTATAGCAGTGTACCTTAATTTTTTCTTTATCTTTTTTTTTTTCCAGCTATGACTCAAGGCCTGAGATAAAGGACATCTTCTTTTGAAGTATAAGAGAACTTTGTCCTTTGGTTGGATTCTACAACACAGCCAGTGAAAACAGAGCACTGTATTTTTTTCACTGATACATCACTGTTGTTTCCAAGAAAGAATGGGAGACAATCCTAGACCATATTGCAGAATAACATGTAGCCATAAAATGATGCACATGGTGTTCGCACAGTGAGTCACAAAGATACAAAATGGTATTGTTTACATTACTAGAAAATTACTAGTTTTCCAATGGCAATAACTCATTTATGAGAGAATTAGTCCACTGGATAGCCAGGGACCATATCCTGTGTGAGGCAGATAAATGTAGAGTTGATATTTGATATAGATTCTTGTAGTGGGAATCCATCCCTAACAGCATTTTAAAGCATGTGGCAGAGGTGCTTTACTTCATCCTCTTAAAGTAACATGTGAGTCAGCCCTACTGAGAGCCAGGCAGCTCCAAGTGGCAGTATGGGGCTAGAAGCTTGTAAAACAGGTTGAGGCTTCCTTATGTAGTCTTCCTTCACAGAAGCTTTAATTTGGAAGGAAGCTGTCAAGTCACAGGTCAAGCCTCAGTGACATGGACCTTCCTTTTGGTGGTAGCATACAATTTTCACATTTTACCCGCTCCTGAGATGCACTATCCTTAAAACCAGTATCTCCTCCTCTAACAAAAGGGCAAATCTAAGTTTACTTTGATTACTTAGTTTTGTTCTTCTAGAATTCTGTGCTCCAGTTACTTAACTTTCCCTTCAGAATATATGTGGGAAGATAAAAAAGTAAAGACCACTCCAGTTTTTTACTTGCAGTACTTTAAACAAAATGGTTATTTTGAGGTTGTTTTATTTCCTCCAATAACATGGAGAGAGAAGCACTCAACATTGTTTGATTGCCTTCTCCATTCTTTGGTATGAGTGGGAAGTGTGCAGTTAGTGGCTTTTCTTTCTGTCTGTCTTCTGGACAGTAGGAGACTTGCTTGCTGCACTTCTGCTCAGTCATTGTTGTGTTGGGTCTGCACACTCCACTGTCCATGTTGCACCAGTCCTTTCCTGATGCATGTGACTAAGGAGAAAGAAAGTTCTATTGGGCGTTACTGCTTTTGCTCAGACTTTGAAAAAAAAAGAATGAATATATATATATAT